AAGCCAAGTTCATGTAAAAATCGGATATAATATCTCCCAGAAGTTCAAACAGTGATGTATGGTAGCTATGTGCAACAACATGAAAGCAAATCAGCCTCTCAGGGCAACACTCACTCAGACTTTCTCAATAGCTTATCACTCGGCACTCATCCATCAACACTCGCACTCAATAGGTAACTGCGTTCACTGGGGAGTACAGACTCTGGAGGGGCTCCTACAGCCCAAGCGCTATATCCGCACGGACAACTCACGTGCTGCACGGACCCCATGTGCTATAGTATCATATCAGGGTCCGCACGGACAACTCACGTGCTACACTATAAATATTTGTATCCGTATGAACAACTCACGTGCTATGGTATCAATATATCACAATCAAGCCCTTGGCCTCACTCAGTCATCAACCTCTCTAGTCTCACGAGCTCTCAGTAATTATGGAAATCAGCCCAAAACAAAAATGACATAACGTATCAATAAGGAATAACAGAGACCGATATAAGATATGCAAGTAAGACTACGACTGAGTACAAGTGGTAATTAACAAGTAATTCAACAGGTATCACGGACTCCGTGGTTCCCTACAGTACCAACACATAGCCTAAACATGATTTCTAACATGATTTACAGTCAAATTTCTATAACACATGGGGAGCATATAGCTAACAACAAGTTATTCAACTTTACAGTCCCACAGAATGGACTAAGTCTCAATTCCCACGGTACACGCCCACACGCCCGTCACCTAGCATGTTCGTCACCTCCAAAACAATCATATAACACATAATCCGGGGTTTCATACCCTCAGAATTAGATTTAGAACTGTTACTTATCTCAATCCGCGCAAAACTCTACTCCAATACGCCTTTGCCTCGCAAATCGGCCTCCAAATGTCCCGAATCTAGCCACAAGCAGTACAATACAATCAATATTCTACAACAAAAATACGAAATCATAAATCAAAATCAGAAATCGGCTTCAAGCCGGCCCTCGGGCCCATATCTCGAAATCTAACAAAAGTCAGAAAACCCGAAACCCATTCAATCACGAGTCTAGTCATACCAAATTTATCAAAATCCGACATCAAATCGACACTCAAATCCCAAAAATTAACTCTCCAAATCCCTAGCTTCAAATCCCCAAATTACACCTCACAAACACACCAACTAGGTGGGAAAATCAATGGGAAAACATACTTTTTGAAGAAATTTAACCACAAGTGACTTACCTCAAGAATTCCTTCGAAATCTCTCACAAAAATCGCCTAATTCTGAGTCCAAAATATTGAAATGAAGCCAAAATTGCAAACCCTAGCATTTATATGTTCTGCCCAGTTAAACCGCACCTGAGATCCAAAAATACGCTTCTGCGGTGAAAACTCGGCGCCCAGAATACTGCATGCATATACCATAATTTAACTTAATTTGCTTGCATGTACTAATTCGCTGGATAGGATGCTGAACGGACTACATAGCTGGTAGTAGGGGTGTCAAATGGGCGGGTTGGGTCAATTTTGGGCGGGTCAAAATGGGTTGAGTCAATAATTGGGCTGGTCAAATACCAAAAGTTACTTGGGCTAAGATGGGTTGGGTCAAGATAGGTTAAAATTCGGGTCATAATCCAACCCACCCAACTCTTATTAAACTTTAATTAATATGTGTTATTTTCTTATAAATTGTATAATTACTAAATAAGGCTTTTTTGCTTTTGTTATGGTCATATTTAAAATATTAAACAAAAAATTCTAAGATATTTTGACAAACTTACTCATGGATCAATTTGGGCTAAAAATTAGCCCAACTTTAAATGGGTTGAGATGGGTTGGGTAAAGATGGGCTAAGTTCAATAAATGGGCGGATTAATAATCAACCCAACCTTGAGCGAGTTGGGCGGGTCATTTGGGCTTGGGCCAAATTTGACAGCCCTAGCTGGTAGTTGGAAACTTACTATGCAGAGGTCACATTTGCTACTTTTTCTTTTCTACTTATCATTAATTAATACCAAAACAAGAGGGCAATTAAGTGTCCTCTACAATATAATTACCACCAAGATGTTATATATGCAGATAGCATTACTAGCAACTGTGTTGCCTTTTGTTACTTTTGTGTGAGTTTTTGTTCCTCCCACCCACTTTTTATTAGACAGGGGTAGATGTTTCTTCTATATATGCCCTTGCATGTTGATACGGTTATACTTTTAAGTAAAAAGTGTTGATGATGAGTTTAACTTCTATATGTTGATAATGAAATTCCTAATGCAACTAATCCCATTTATAAGCAGCGTTTCACCAGCTTGAACAACCTTGTACTTATCATGGTACATTTATTTTATCTCCACCTATATTTATTAATTCAATAATATAATGTACTTACTAAATAATCCCCTTTTTATTTTTGAATATCTTTACAGTTTGAAAATAATAATGTGATCGATAAACCCAAAAGAAAGTTCTTGGTTTGGCTTTTATCAAGATGGAACCTACTCTCAAATTTTGCCACCGCAACAGGTAATATTATTTTCCAATTTGCACCTTTTAAACTCAATAACCATGTTATATATTGGGAGTAACAATATATATTTTCTTTTTTTGGCAGACTAATCTTTATCTAGAGGATACGTTTGGATTACAAACATTAGATAAAGCTGGAGAAGTGAAGTTCATAAAGTTACCAGGAATTCACCTTGGAATGGATATTCAAGAAATACAGCAATATCTTGCCCCATATTTCATATTTGATTGAATAAAGCTACTGCTCAAGTGGTCCACTGATTAAAAAAATTCTTGTTAAGGACAATGGTGTTAACAAAAAGTACTACTAATTGTCTTCATGCTATTTTTGAATTTAAGGATATGACCTTTTTAGAAGAATATATTAGTCTAAATCAAGTTTGTTAGATACGAAGAATTTAAGGATTTTTAAGTTTTTTGTTATATTAATGTAGCAAGTCCGGGGCTATAGTTAATACTTAGCACGTACGTGTTTATTTTATTTTATTTTTTTTGGTTACTCAACTGTTTGGTGAGATTTTCATCTGGCATTAACACTTCTCAATGATTAAAAAGGATACGGTGATAGGGAAATGATAAATTTAATGATTGTCTTGAAAATTATAAGTCACAAAAGATAAGTCTAAATATTGCCCCTTGGCTTGTACGTATATAGTAGGAGTAACTTATTAAGACGTTTCAATAATGGCTTATAATGCTTATAAATCTCATAAGTATTCCTTTTGTTTCAATTTATGTGTGTACATTATTATTTGGGGAATCTACAAGGTTCATCTTTGACCACTAGTTTCTTAAATATTTTGAAATATAAATTATTATGACTTATAATACTTTGTATGTAGTTTTCAAATATGTAAATTCTATGTTTTTAAAAAAAAACTTAAAAAATTGATTTATGTCTAGTTTAATGAAGATTTTGACCCTCGTACTCCGAATCAAACCACATGAATCGAAACAGAGAAGATTCATAGTGAGATTCAATGGGGGATTAGCAATAATGCGTTTAGCCGTTTCTAAAGAAATATGTACAAATTTAACTCAAAATATATTGTATAAAATTTGTATATAATTGATAAATTGTATATGTCAACGTAACCCACCTTTATTTTTTGCTGATATTTATCTTCGGACAGACAAAGCAAAAAGATTGATTCTGCATAGACCAATAAGTGAAAAAGAACTTGAATAAAAATAGTGATGAGTTCTTATTCTTCTCTTAATCTCATTTGTCGAAAGCTAAGTAATTTCTAGAGAAAAACAATATCATGGTCGTACGAGGAGTGTCGTTGTCTTCTTGTTAGCAGTGGGATAGGGAAACTGTAAGAACTGAATTTTCACTATCATGGTCACGTTTTAATGATGCTATGTGAGAGGTGTTAAGGAAGTTGCAGAAACAAAAGAAACAAAGAAAAACATTTGAAACTTGTAGCTTAAAATAAACTATAGACGTTTGTGTGACTATAAATCATCTCATTCAAGATTAAATAAAAAAAATTAAAATTAAATTACTTCTTAATATATATAGAAACGTCATCCAAATCCATTTTTTTAATATTATGATTTACATGGAACACTCAATATTTCCTACATGAATTTATACTATTAGTAGTAGCCACACATGGTACAATCCTCTATGCATGATTTTGGACTAAAACAAGTGTAATTATTGCTCCCGGTCCTATTTATTTGTCACATTTGTTAAAAGTAGTTTTTTCTAAATAAGAAATACTTAGATACTAATTCCAAAATTTACCCTTACTATTCTAATAAATCTTCTAGGACAAACTTAAAGAGATTGAGAGATCAAAGAATAAAATAGGGAAATCTAATCAAATACAACTTTAGTAATTAATAATTTTTTGAAGGACGTGAAAAAGGTCAAAGTGACGGGTAAATAGGACTAGAAGGCATAAGGAGTATATAATAGTAACAACTTTAGCCACATAAATTGCTGTTGTCTTATATATGTCCCTTTGACAGCAGCTAGCAAGAATACGATTGTACAGAATATGATTGTACCGGATGTGCTGCAGTGAATGGGACTGCTCCTCCCTCTTAATTAGAGATCTCGAGTTCGAGTCCTGGGTATGGAAAAATTCTTGGTAGGGAACGCTACCCCTGAATGGGGCCTTATCCGGCGCGAATTCAGATATAGTCGGGCTCTAATGTGAATACCGGACACCGGATAGAAAACCAAAGAAGAAAATGACTTCATACATGTGTATCATGCATAAACTTTGTAATGGACAGATCACTGCAAGATGCTGACAAAGTTAGTTATTTTGGTACTGTTTTTAGCGCAACTTGGAGGTACTTGGTAACTTTGGGCGCTCTCACATAGCACCAACTCCATTTGAGGCCAATATTGAGTATCTTTGAGGATGATTAGCATTTTGGTTCAATAAGAAACGTGTAAAACATTTGATGTAGACTTACCAGAACAAACAGTAAATAATTGATTCTATCGCCCAACTATCACTAAGACTCCACTATTTATAGTAGAAGGTTTTATTCAGTATAGACCAATTTTTAAGAGAAAATAAAGAAAATGAAGAAAGACAGTATCCACGTTGTAATGGTGCCATGGTTAGCATTTGGTCACCTGCAGCCATTTTTCCAACTCTCCATAGCCTTAGCCAAAGAAAAAGTCCATGTCTCTTTCCTTTCCACTCCCAAGAACATTAAGAGACTTCCTAAACTTCCTTCCAACATAGCACCACTAGTAAATCTAGTGGAGTTCCCACTGCCATCACTCGATGGGAGCCCTTTGCCTGCTGATGCTGAGGCTAGTGTAGACATTCCCGCTGATCAAATGTTGTACTTGTACCAAGCTTATGATCTCCTTCGAGAACCCGTCAAAAACTTCATTGCTGATAAAAAACCTGATTGGGTCATCGCTGATATCGTCCCCGATTGGGTGGCTGATATCGCTCGTGAACTTAACATTCCCCTCCTTAAATTCAGTGTCTTCACTGCTTCTTCACGGGTCTTCTTCGGGCCCCCAAAACCTAGAGCCCCGCCCGGTCAAGTTAAAAATGGATCAAAGCCATTGCATGAACTTTTGACATCACCACCACCATGGGTGGATTTCCCATCGATGGTTGCTTTCCGGAAATATGAAGCTCTAGGTCTAATTTCTGTCCTACGTGGAGAGAATGAATCGCGCGAAACTTTACTGGGATATGCTGCCGTAGTAGAAGGCTCATGTAGAGCTGTGGCTATACGTACTTGCATGGAATTTGAAGGTGATTACTTGGATACATATAACAAAGTCGCAGGTAAGCCAGTGATTCCGATCGGTTTGCTACCACCGGAAGAATTACCGGCGAATGAAAGAACTCTTGCTTGTCAACCAATTTGGCAGAAGATCTCTAAATGGCTTGACGAACAAAAGCCAAGGTCGGTTGTGTTCGTGGGTTTCGGAAGTGAATGTAAACTTAGCAAGAATCAAGTATATGAAATAGCAAACGGAGTACAACTCTCAGGACTACCGTTTTTGTGGATACTACAGAAGCCCAGTTGGGCTCTGAACGGCATTGATGCTTTGCCATCAGGTTTTAGTGCTGCAACGGAGGGGAGAGGGTTGGTGCACATTGGCTGGGCACCACAGAAGGAGATTCTTGCTCATCCGTCCATTGGAGGATCCCTATTTCATGGAGGATGGGGTTCAGCCATTGAAACTTTACAACATGGTCATGTTCTTGTGGCGTTGCCTCTCATTTTTGACCAAGGATTGAATGCAAGATTGCTAGTAGAAAAAGGTGTGGCAATTGAAGTGAAGAGGAATGAAGAAGATGGATCGTTCAGTGGAAATGACATAGCAATTTCATTAAGAGAAGCGATGGTTTTAGAGGAAGGGGAAGAGCTTAGAGCTCGAGCAAGAAAAGCTGCTGCTACTTTTGGAGACCGGAAGCTTCATGACTCCTACATCAAAAACATTGTTGAGTATCTGAGAAATAATGCTGAGATGAAGGTTTAGTCATCAATCAGCAAATTAGAAAAGATATTGTGTTCTGAATGCATGTCAATCTAATTATACTAATATTTTTCCAGCTTTGTACGCATTGAAATAACGGACAACTATGTATTCGAAAAAAAAAATCAAAACTATGTATGGGTTGCAATAAATGAACTACTTCGTTGTTACAATGATTGATTTTTCTTGCACTCAGTTAAAAGTTATTAATTCCTCTTTTAATTCGGTCTGATAAATGCAGACTAACGGGCGACTCCTGATGTGATAAGTATTTGTGATCACATGCCCCCGAGTTCCTACACAAAACAATAAGGGCATGGTTTGATGTATTTTAGTAACGATAATCATGATATGAATAACCTTCATTTCATCCAATGTTTGGTCACAATTTCAATTTCATTATATTAATATTAATATATTAACTTATAAGTTAATCTTGGTATTATTTTATATTGGATCTCAAGCGAAAAAATAAAACAGGAAAGTTCGCCTCGATTTGATACCACTCTCACAGCCCGCACCAAACAATATTTTACCCCTAGATGTCCAGTCAACTGCTGCACCTCAATGTATTTCGGGGAGAACCAGCTAGCTCTAGTTTTAAGTGGCATATCACCCTTAACCACAACTCATCTACTGATTCTTCAACCTCAGTCGATTATTACCTTGTAACGACCCGACCGATCGTTTTGAGCTTTAGCGTTCCGTTCAGTGGTTCGAGGTCTTGAGTGGCTTCATATTGTGCATTATGACTTGCGTGTATGGTCGGACTCGATTCAGATGTTTTGGGATTGATTTGGATGAGTGATTCTCATTTTAGACGCTTAAGTTGGAAATGTTGAGCGGGGTTTTGACTTTTGTGAAAACGATCCCGGAACGGTGTTTTGATGGCTCCGATAGGTTCTTATTGTAATTTTGGACTTGGAAGTATGCCCGAAATTGAATTCGGAGGTCCCTAGGTTGATTTGGCATGTTTTGTCGAAAGTTGCCAATTTGAAGGTTTAGAAATTCCTTAGGTTTGACTATGGTTTGGCTTTATGGCTATCGGGTTTGGATTTTGATTTTGGGACTTGGAATAGGCCCGTTATGTTATTTGGAACTTGTTTGTAAAGTTTGGCGTCATTTCGAGATGATTTGATAGGAATCGGACTTGTGGTTGTGTTTTTAGATGTTCTTGAGTTTTAATGTAAAATTTCATGTGTTTTGATGTCTGATTCGTGGTTTCGGATGTGATTTTGATGTTTTGATGGCGCGAGAGAGTTCGTATGATGTTTTTAGGCTTGTGTTGATGTTTGGTGTGGAGCCCCGAGGACTCGGGTGAGTTTCGGACGCGTTTCGAAGTGTTTGAAAGAGTTTCACTTTTGCTGGTTTTAGAAGGTTACGCAAATGCGAGATTTTGTTCGCATTTGCGAGGTGGAAGATCACATTTGCGAGTTATGCTGGGAATTGTCAGGTCCGCATTTGCGAACACATGGTTCACATTTGCGATGGGTGCCTGGGCTGGGCTAGATCGCATTTGCAATCATAATGGTCGCTTTTGCGAAGTGTTCATGTTCGCATTTGCAATAAAATCGTAGCATTTGCGACGTTGGCAGGACTGCGATGGATGTCGCTTTTGCGATCATTCTTCGCATTTGCAGGGTTTGCAGGTCGATTGCGACACCTGCGCCTAAACATAAGGGCTGGAAATCGGGATTTTAGTCTCATTTTCATATCCTTGAACCCTACATTTTAATCCAATCCGATCCGAAATCCGAAATTATTAGGTAATGTATAAATACTACATTTTAATTTCGGATAGTCAGTACTTCCTTTACATCTTCCTCCAAGTTATTACTTTTACAATTGCTAGATTTAGCTATATTGGCACCATAGTACTCTCATAATTGCATAAACATGAATTTTTCTAAATGTATTACCTCTTTTACAAAGAAAATATACATAGTTTGCAACTTTGAGGCATAATAATACGATCTGAAATCCGATCCGATCCATACTTTAAAATCCGATCTAATCCGATATAATTCGGATCGGATTCGGATTGCATTTTCTAGAATCCGGAATCCGAAATCCGAAATCCGAATCCGAAATGTGCTAAATTCGATCTGATCCGATCCGTGCACAGCCCTAACTCTACCGGGGTTAGCCTTGATACTTACCGAGTACTGCTGTGGTGTAATCATGCTACGCTTCTGCACATCTTTTGTGCAGATCGAGGTACCCCTGAGCGTGCCAGTCGTTAGTTAGCTGTTGGAGATTTGCTACAGAGACTTCAAGGTATACCTGCCACTACGCCCGCAAGCCTCGGAGTCACCTCCTAGATGCTTCACTTTGTTACTGTTTACTACCATTCTAAACAAAGATGTATTTGATATTCTTAGCTACTCTTAAAAAAAGCTTATGACTTCGTACTATCGATTTTAGGATATTGTATATCTACGGATGGTTGTCGGCTATGTATAGCAATTACTGGTTCATGTTATGGTTAATTGGTTTAAGTCTCTTAATAACTCAGTATGTGTTAGGGCCATCACGACATCCTAAGTAGGGAATTTGGGGTCATGACATACCTTCACTTAGTTTCACCCACGAGGAAACACGAGATCTAGTGGTCGAAAGGCTGTTCCTGCCACCTACTAAACTGGTGGATCAGAAAAGCTACCGAGTGTTAATAAAAGCAAGTGTTAATAAAAGCATTACGGCTGGAGAGATGGCCAAATGCCATAAGGGCGACGGGCATCAAAAAGAAGAGTAAATCTCATCGACTTTTTAAGCACGAACCATGATATGAAATAAGTCGATAAAGCATAATCCAATTTCAAAAATTCAAAAGGGTAAATGCACAATATTTGAATTACCTGAAGATCTTATTCTACATATTATCACCAACTTCATCCTGGTCATGGATGGATCACCCAAGTTTAGGTCCATAAGCAATGACAATTTTCCTATGAAGACTCTGCTTTCGCTACGGCTCAGGTGGAGGCGATAGCTCTGAAAAGTCTTACTTTACGAAAGTATGGTCACCGGTGGCTAATACCTTCTCGAGACTATCGAACCTGAAATCCACTTTCCATCGCTCTTTTTAGGTTGGCATAATATAGAAAGAGAGTGCCAAGAAACAACACATACCTATCACTTTTGGAAGGTTTGGAACCCTTACTCAACATAGGGTCCAAAAACCCGACACCTAGCTTCTGGTATTTGAACCAGTTACGTCGATTGCTGAACCTGACTTTACTTTGACGCGTTGGCCTTTCCCTATATCTTAATTAATCGGAAGAGTCAGTGGCTATCCTGCACAGGAAGAAGTCAACTCTTTCCAAAAGGCAGGATGTGAAGTAAGTATTTGTTGAAAAAGAGAATAGCATGAATGCTTTTTCTCACGGATCCGAAGATCCCTATTCTCGAACTCGATCAATTGGTTATATTCCTTTTGCGAGGAACAATTATTGAGTGAATGTTTTACTTCTGCCCAATAGACCCCCCTATCCTTATCCATCAAAAAAATGCTATTGGTATTTTCCATTGCCAATATCCTATTTATCATCGATGACTCCAAGGCTATATTGTGAGTCGGGGGCCAAGGCTCCGACAGGACCTGGAGCCCGAATAAATCTTCCGATGAGGAGTTTGAAGGGCCCGGAAGAGGAAGTCCTTGCCCTCCCCCCACACTCAAAACCAAAACAAAAGAGAAAAGATCAGCCAAAAGAACATCTAAGCGAGAAAGTAAGTAGATCCGGAGAAAATAGAAAAAGAAAGAGATGAAAAATATTAGGAATAAAAGAATCACACTCCTTTTTCTTTTTGTTGAACGAGAAACTAGAGTCAGACTATTGTTGAATGGCTTCAGTTTACATGCGACAGCCATCCATTTACCACACGAAAGCCCACATTTTTTCTCAGCTTAAAAAGCCGTCATCAAGCTCGTGATTGCGGGCAAAGTTCAACAGCGAAATCCTACAACAGAACATAGCCAATAATAGTATTTACCATATTCAGGTACTGCCATAACAATAGCTGAACAGTAAAATCCTATGATAAAATCAACAATTTCAAGCAATACTCCCACTGGAACTAGCACCAAATCTCCACCTCCACGACCGAAGCACCGAACCCCAGCCTTCCTCCAGGTCCCTGCAAAAAGTTAGCAATACCCAATTTAATGAAAACATGTCAGAAAATAAATGAACAAGCATGAAGAATACAGTCCAAACTGCTTAAAAAGCAGTACTTAGACAAGAAATTATAACCTGTACTTACAACATTGACTTTTCAGGGCTATATTTTATTGCAGCCATCATCATAGTAAAGGATTTTTTTACAAAAAAAAAAAGATAAAAGTATCTATGTGCTTTAGCCATATAACTTGTCATAGTCTTACATCCTTTTGACAGCAGCTAGCAAGTACACTTCTTACAGCTGCATCATGCATGAACTTTTCCCTATATAAAGGGATGTTTATCCCTTACCACGCTATACAGACAAACATAAAGCAAAAAGTTTGACTCCGCAGAGACTAACAAAAGCAGAAAAAGAAAAAGAACATGAGTGGAGATAATGTTCACATTGTAATGGTGCCATGTTAGCATTTGGTCACCTGAACCCATTTTTTCAAATCTCCACAGCCTTAGCCAAAGGAGGAGTTCAGGTCTCTTCTTATCCACTCCCAAGAACATTAAGAGACTTCCTAAACTTCCTCCTAACTTAGCACCACTAGTAACGTAGTGCAGTTTCCACTACCATCACTTGATATTAGGAGTCTTTTGCCAAAAGATGCTGTCTCAACTTTGGACTTCCTTCTGATATAGTTGAAGCAAGCTTATGATCTCCTTCAAGAACCCGTTATACGCTTCATTGCTGATAAAGATGTGATTGGGTCATTGCTGAATTCATTCCCACTGGGTGGCTGATATTGCTCAAGAACTTGACATGCCCCTCATTAAATTCAGTCTTCATTGCTGCTTCACGGGTCTTCTCCGGGGCCCCAAACCCCGGAGCTGCCCCAGATAGGGTTCGAGATCAAAGCCAATACATGAACTTTTGACATCAGAGCCACCATCAGTGGATTTCCCATTGATAGTTGCATAACGAAAACATGAAGCTCTAGAACTAATATATGCCGTATACGGAGAGAACGCTTCGACCCGAGCTTTACTGGGACATGATGCCATAGCAGAAGACACATGTAGAGGTGTGGCTATACGTACTTGCACTGAATTATAAACTGATTACTTAGAGACATGAAAAGTCAACAGAAAGCCACTGATTCCCCTTGGATTGCGACCGCCGGAAGAATTACCAGCAGATGAAAGAAATCTTGCTTGTCAGCCACATTGGCAGAAGCTCTCCAAAATGGCTCGATGAACAGAAGCCAAAATCTTCTGTGTTTGTGGGCTTCGGCACTGAATGTAAAGTTACGAAGAATCAACTGTATGAAATAGCAAACAGAGTTCAACTCTTTGGACTGCCATTTCTGTGGATGCTACAGAAGCCCAGAACGCTTTGAACGACATTGATGCTTTACCATCAGGCTTTGACAATGAAAGGGAGAGGGTTGGTGCACATTGGCTGGGCACCGCAGACGGAAATTCTAGAACATTTATCTATTGGAAGATCCCTCTTACGTGCAGAATTTGGTTCAGCCATTGAAACTTTGAAGCACGGTCATGTTCTTGTGGTGTTGCTCTTTGCTTTGACCAAGGACTGAATGCAAGATTGCTAATAGAAAAAGGAGTAGCCATTAAAGAGAAGAGGAACGAAGAAGATGGATCTTTTAGTGGAAATGAAATCGCAATGTCATTAAGAAGCAATGGTCTCAGAGGAAGGGGAAGCGCTTAGAGCTTGAGCAAGAAAGGCTGCTGCCAATTTTGGAGACCAGAAGCTTTATAACTCTCTACATCAAAAACTTTGTTGAATATTCGAAAAGTAATGGTGAGATTAAGGTTTAGTCATCAACCAGCAAAGCACAAACGATTTCTATGTGTCAATGCATTCAATCTCCAATCTTAATCTACAACTGTATTGCCAGCTGCTCACCAATTCCCAAGTATGTATCACACAAATTATGCATTTCCTTTTCTTAACCTTTTTTTACCATCCTTACGCCCATGCAATCCTTGACAGTGAGGTAGGTAAGAATATTCAGTTTTTTAGGATGCACCAGTTATATTTTAAAACATGCGCCTATATTCTATTCTAAGTTGAAGAAATTGTTTGACCCAGTTCAATATCTATCAACTAGCTAAACTGCCTTTCTAAAGTATCAAGGATTTATTTTCACGGAAGTGTAAGGGTTGATAGCTCCTATAATGTTTAAGATGCACTATCAAAATATTACATGATCACCCCTTTTTCGCCAAACAGCACAAGCTTGCATAAGATACTCACAAGCTACAGTGTCACTCATTCCTCAGAACTGTACACATTCCTCAAAACTGCACATTGTGTTGAGTATATGCAAAAGACATCATCAAGAAATTTCTAACCTCAAAGGTAAGACATCTTCTATCCAGCGAATCACTGAGTCCATGGATCAGCCAGTTTGCCCCCATGTTGCTTAATTATTCGGGCTGCTTGCAGAAGAATATCCTGCTGTGTTGAAAACAATTTGTCTTTGCTCTATATTCATAAAAGACAATTATTAGATGAATAAAGTGAAACCCATAAACAAGATCCATGAGCCTCCTTCCGAAGGGAAACATTGGAAGCATAAGCTGATCAGTGATATAATTGCACATGAAATCCTCAGATACACAGCGAATAAAACATACAATTCAACGGAAAATGATCAGTGAAATAATTGCACATGGAAATCGTCAGATACACAGCAAACAAAACAACTTAAAGATTCAATGGTAAGTATCATGTCAGCATTTGTTCCAAACATTTTGTTGTGTATCAATTACAGAAATCAAAGGCAGACCTTAGAAAAAGAAATGGCTTTTGTCCTTTTTTATGTCATGTGATCAAACATTGAGGTGCCAGATAGGGCTCTGGTTTGGAATAACAAGGAAATGCAAAGGCAGTGTAACCTAAATAGGTTCTTCGAGTCTACCATGATCACTTTGTCCTCAGAAATCCTTACTATCTATCAATGATTGTCTCTATTCTACCTATATTTTCAACTTGTTTATCCATTAAATTTCCTTTTATTTTCGTTCTTTTTGTTTTTTCTCTTGAGAGGGGATCATGCGGGTCTATCTAGGTTTCGGCAGACACCACCATAACTGAACTTGCAGCAGCAATATCTCTCCCTAGGTGGCAGAATAACTCTTATTATCAGTGTTTTGGATAGCATACCTACTTACTTTATGTCCCTCTTCAAACTTCCAGCTAGTGTTCAAAAACAGCTTGACAAACTCAGATGTTCGTTCCTATGGGAGGGCAACAGTAAAGAACATAAATTTCACCTTGTGAAGTGGGCTAAGGTAATCCTCCCTAAGTCGCTTGGGGGACTAGGGGTCAAGGATTTGGCTTTACACAACAAGAGTATGCTTATGAAATGGCACTGGAGGTATAATAAAGAAGGAATGGCTTTCTGGAAGGAGTAGTCCAAGCCAAGTATGGTTGTGACAGCCATTGGTGCTCTAGTTTTGCTAATACTCCTCATGGTTGTGGGCTATGGAAGGGCATCAGGTCATTGTGGGATTCTTTCTCACTTAATACATCACTCCAGTTGGGCAATGGTGAACATATCCTATTCTGGAAGGACCTATGGATAGGAACTACCACACTGAAAAATGCTTATCCAAGAATGTTCTCACTTGCGTCTAACCCAGATTCTACAGTTGCTCAGAATTGGGCGGAGAACTCATGGTGCCCTCACTTAAGAAGAAACCTGAATGATTGGGAGATTGAGGACTTGCTGGCTCTTCTTGGTACTCTACCAAATTGCTTCAGTACAAAGTTCAGATTAGTGGAACAAACTTAAAGTGGGGACAACGAGGGAGGGGAGGCTCTTTTTCAGTCAAAGAAAGTTATTTTAATCTGAGCTCTAATAAAGTATTGATTGATCGATGGCCGTGGAAACTTATATGGAAGACGAAGCTCCCTCCAAAGATCAGTGCTTTCTGCTGGACTGCTCTACATGGTGCTTGCCTAACTCAAGACAACCTCATCATAAGGAATTTCCAATTAGCCAACAGATGTCATGTGTGTCTCTGCGACTCTGAATCGATCAATCACCTGTTTCTACATTGTTCAGTTGCAACTGACCAATGGTCTATGTTCCTCTTACTTTTTGGACTGCATTGGACTATGCCATGCAGTGTCAGGGAAGCCTTTGTGTGTTGGAGCTACTGGGAAGTTGACAAATCCATCAAGAAAATCTGGTCTATGGTTCCTGCTTCTATTTTGTGGTGCGTATGGACTGAGAGGAATCAAAGATGCTTTGATGGTATTTCAACTGCCAGATGTCAACTTAAGGCTAGATGTTTAGTTTTCCTTTTTAGTTGGGTTAACCATACCCCTGTATATAATCCTGACCTCTTTTTGGAATTTATCAGCTCCATAATCCTCTGATTGTTTTTGTCTACATTATGAGCTGATACTTGTCCTACTTTGTAATTCTGCATCCTCTGGATGCTTTTGTTATTAATATACCACTTACTTCATCAAAAAAACCATAACTGAACTTGCTCCAATCAAAATTTGAAGGAGAACACTTGCTATCAGAAGTTCAAGGATCTATACACTTAAACAGATATTATCAAGCTCTGAGTGTCGTTCAAGTATTACATGACTATTATAAAATAGTTGAAAGAAAGTTATCTCGTATTTCAGCATTGAACACTAGATAACAACAACAACAACAACAACTACCCAGTAAAATCCCACATAGTGGGGTATGGGGAGGGTAATATGTACGCAGACCTTACCCCTACCCCGATAGGGCAGAGAGGCTGTTTCCGATGGACCCTCGGCTCAGAAAGACGAAAATAAAAAACAAGAAAAGAGAATTCATTAGTAACTCCAGCAGAAACCGTTATAGTAACAGAAGCATAAAAACCAAAAGATGAATGACATGCAATAACAGTAACCAGAGTCTAAGGCCCAGGTCTAATATAAACAGCAAGAATAGTGTGGGTTCAACATAAACTGCAAGCCATCTAAGATCAACCCTAATCCAACCCCGCCTCACCCCGGTATGAAGTAAGGAAAGCTCTACTAACCCTATCCTACAACCCTAATGCTTGACCTCCAGGCCTTCCTATCAAGGGCCATGTCCTCGGAAATATGCAGTCGTACCATGTCCTGCCTGATCACCTCTCCCCAATACTTCTTAGGTCTCCCTCTACCTCTTCTCGTACCCACCACGGCCAACCGCTCACACCTCCTCACCGGTGCATCAAGACTTCTCCTCTGATAAATATTGTGCTAGTATTTAAAGTAGACATGAAACTCAAGCAACAAATATCAAATGAATTCCATTAGGAAAGACCGAAACAGAGAAGGCATACCGCATATCTTAAGTTGCACCCAAGAGTCAGCTCTGCATATGTTTTTTCTATTTTAGACAAGTAGCAGTATGGTGCCTCTTTTTCCAAGAAAACACTTGGATTAGATCTGAGCATGTTTTTTACATCATCTGAAATCTGGAGAATCTTATCGAAGTCTTCAATTTGGAAAGGAACTGTAGTAACCAAGGCACGCCATAGAGCACGTGATTTATTCACAATCACCTGAAATTTGCACAAAACAGTCTGTCAAATTCTCCTCCTTTTCTGTTGCTTCCGTTTCTTTACTTTTAATTTTTTAGGGCCCAAACGGGGGAGAGAGGGAGGAAACTTCAACAAAGTAAGAAATATCAGAGCCAAAAAAACTCAAGGTGTTAGAGATCCATAGATTAAGAATCTATATGATTATTTTTCACTTTCACATAAGATAGAGAAATGAATTATATTCAGCTCCTTTACAAAAGAATTATAGAAAGCTCTCTCTTAAGTGATCCATTGAAGTATCCAGCCGCATAAAAGAAGTATGCATATAGACACAGTAACGCTAAGATATGTTTGAGCAGATTTGCCACTAAGCAACACTAGTCACAATACCAAGATTCTGGATATCTGGAAGTATCTGACACACTGGTTCAATAGAAGTTAAGAAGTGGAAGCTGCCTTCAATTATAAGAAGCTATCCTGCTGAGAAAATAACCTATAAGATCTAATTGACACATGATCCAGCACGGCCAGCAAAGTTTCAGATATACTTGGGAATTGAACGTAAGACTAAAAGCAATTTGTGAACCCCCTTTGCCACTACAATAGTATCTTCCTTTATGTCAAGGGGATTCCGCAGTTTATATAAGCAAATAAACTTGTTTTTGCTTGCGCAATATAATTTTCAGATGAAGGGGATTCTTCAATTGAACCCCCTTGGTTCTACATAGATACGCCCTTGTTCAGTACCATGCAAGTCTAAATTGGGTAGAGATCTAAAGTAAAAGGTCTCTCAAAATTGTAACCTCCCCAAGGAATGAAGCAAAGTAGTAGAGCATCAAATAACTAAGAAAACCTACCTGGCTGGAAAATAGTGAATTTGGGACAATAACGGGAAACTTTTCTGCAGTCAACAATGATGTGGTGGTGAGCCCCATTTCAACCACTTGACCTTCCACTGATCCAGCCTGCAAAAGTAGGTAGCTGTTAAACAACCCATGGAATTGATTAAATGTCACATGTTGTCAGAAAAACAGGAGTTGGGTTCTGACTTCTGGTAGATCTATTCATTGGGAACACAATTATAATTGTTGTTGCGCAAATATTCTTTTTATTCTTAGTTAGATATCATTTTATCATTAAACCAGCTTTCCAGTCATAATTATTTGTTTCTTGTAATTAACTTCCAGTCATAATTAAATATCACTTTCTTCTCTTATCTTCTAGTTATCATGATCAATCACTTTTTGTGGGTCCATCTGTCCTACTAATTGCTTTTTGACGCACATATACATCAGAACTAGACCGGTGATTATTCATTCAAGTTCAGATAGTGAGCAGGATTGAGTTTGAAACAGGCATAAATGTATTACTCCCTTGCCTGCCTCAACCATCTTGCCAGCATAAGCGTAAGTCCTTAGCACAGTCTATCCGTGCAAATGTTGCTACACGAGAATACTTATAGTGGAGCTGACCTGACTTGCAATACCGCATATATATTAGAATATATCACTCAACTAAACACTAATTCCGCCAACTAGGGATGGATTCAAGATTTCCGCTTTTCCACTCAACTCCGTTAGGATCACGTTCAACACCGCAAGTCTTCATATACTTAGCACTTCATTTCATATCTTTTTCAGTCTTCCTTTCCCTTTAACTACCTCATTATTACGACATCATGCCAATAGATGCATCTCTAGAACTTGAATAAATAGTTGATATACAGATTACAGTGTGTGTTAAGTTATAGACCCAAAAAAGAGTGTGTTTAGTTGGCCTTCACACTGTATTTTCATTATCCATCATTATGTCTGACACTAAACAATCCATGATAGCTGTTATATACTGAATAAAGGCTTGCCATGTACTTCTAATCTTTGCATAAATCATTCCAACTCCTTAGATACTCGCAATAAAACAAAACAAAAAGATAAATGTTGATACCGATTAAGAAAACTTTTGACATACTTTTATTGTGTCGCCAACTGAAAAAGGTTGTGAAAGCTGTACAGAGAGTCCACTGAGAACATTACCAAGAATGTCTCTAGCAGCAAAAGCAGTAGCCACCCCTGCATTATTTATAAATGGCAAAAATGAAGAGTGAGTTGGAACATAAACAAGTGATAATAAGTACAATATTTTATAGTTTTCCAGTTAATGATTGCCCACATAGCATTTTCATACATATATACCACCATAAACTAATATGTTATCTATCAATATCATTGTTGACATGATTGCTACTATAATGCAGAAGTATTTATACCTCATAACAGGGAAACTTATTTAGTACCCTAACCACTACAGTATTAATGTTTTTTTTTTTTTTAGGTAGGGGGGGGGGGGGGGGGGGGTAGGGGGGGGTAGTAAGTAGAAAATTGGGTAAGATAAACTAAAGTGGGTGGCCTTAACTGGACGGGTCTGGTAATTATCTATGACTCTTTATGGCCCTCCAGCACCCAACATTTTTCCCGGATACAATGATTTGAAAAGTTATGCACATGTCCACCAATAAGCAAACCTGTCCTCTGTTTTATATCACATTTTTTGGTTCCATTCCTATTCTTGGGAGCTATGTTGCTCGGACTCAGGTGCGGGTATCGGATATCGGTGCAAATCTAGAGGTCGGATTCTTTATCACATAAATTTTAGAATTTGGAGGTATGGATCTGAGTGTGGATACAAGTGCCAAGATACAAACAATAAATGTATATTATGACATATAAAGTATATACTTGATTAATTAAAGTTATTGAACTAAAATAAATAAAATTTAATTCTTTATAACACCTACTAAAATTTTATTCACAAGATATCTCCATAATAGCAAAGCATTCAAGTACTTTATATAATTATATTATACTAGTTTTAGGATACGCGCATTGCGCGTATATTTTTCTCAATGAGTATAAAATTTTAAAAATCACACCAATAATATCAAACTATGTGATCCAGTTATAATATAAAATTTTACAAAAATATAAGCTCTTGAAAATGATTAATATCGATCCTATTTAGCCAATTCTTTTTTTTTTTTTGATAAGGCCTATTTAGCCAACTTAAGAAAGTGAAAACTATGTCTCACAAAAGTATTCTAATGCATTATTATAACTTCGATATGTGAGTCGTGCATTTTCTTTTGAGTTATATTTAAATATCATGCAACAATACTACTGTCTTCATGGCCTTAAAGAACAAATATTATTTGCTCAAGTACCTAATATGAATTTCATCTTATTCATATTGGAACTCAAATCGAAAAATACAGAAATCATACGGAGACTCCAAATTGTAGATTTGGTTAGTACACAAAATTTATTGGGTAATATTTGAACCCAACTATTTGTTTCTAGAAAAAATAAAATGATTGTCATAGAGACTAAGGCATAAATTAATGTTTTTGTTATTTATCCAATGTGAAGTGTACCATGTAATATTACTTTCAAAAGGTTACGTCCATTAACATTTCATGTAGATTTAGAGTGTATTCATATAATTACAATAGCGTTTAAAATATATATATTTTTAAGCATACACATTTTAAGATTTTTTTGAGTTATAAAATAGAATAATAGTTAAATAATTAAAAATTATTAGTTGGTTATTTGAGTCCAACTGATTGGATATTATCTCACGTAACTAACAACTCTAAGTGTGGTATAGGAGGTATTTTTCGTAATCACCAAGGGAAGTGGATCCTAGGATTTGCAGCAGCAACAATACCTGGAACAGCAATTCAAACTGAATTGCTTGCCTTGCTCAAGGGATTAATCATTGTTGTACAACAGAATTTCAAACACTCCTTATTGAAACGGATGCACAGGCCATACTTAACTTGTTCACCTCACATGCAATGCAATACACTAATATCCTAAATGATTGCAGGTTCTTACTCCGACAACTGGATAGGCCAACTCTCAGAAGTGTCTTTCGTGAGCAGAACTGTATTGCGGACAGTCTAGCCCACTATGGAGCCCAGCAGAAAAAGGAATCCTGTATAATGTATAAAAGCCCACCACTTTTTGCAACATCTTTCTACCAACAAGACCAACAAGGACTACTACGTATAAGGTTGATAAAGTCTTCGGCTAGGTTATGCAATAGTAATAGTACTAGTTCCTCTACTACTGTAACTCGTTTTGCTACGGATGCTTTAGGTTTTACTGCTTTTTCTACAGTTAATGGTTCTTCTATGGGAACCTCTAGTTTGGCTACTACGTTTGTAAATCCGATGCCTATAATGCATCACCTGAACTGCTCCACACGAGCTTGATCTTTTATATAAATATATATATATATATCCTTTCCACCAAAAAAAAAAGTCTCACGTAACTAACAAATGATGTTGTTGATATATATTCTTTTGTATCATTTGAATGACTTTGTCATGAAAAAGATCTTATTACTGTTAATACTATATTTATCACGAATGTCAACCACTTGCTCATACTCATAATTAATAAGCATTACAAATCACTTTACACATATCTTAGCAAAATATAACATATTTGATTAACGTGATAATTTTTCTTGATTTCTTGGACGGTGATAATGCTCTAAATATGATTTGTGAGGAAAATAGAAAAGATTTATATGTAATAAGGTCACGATTAATTTTTAGTCCTATATTAAGAATTCCTACATAATTCAAATAAGGAATACTCAAATAATCAAAACTTTAGGTGATTTTAAATTCTTAAATATGAGGGAAATAATTAAATTACAATTTTGTCCAATATAACGATTTTGTACAATTTTGTTCAATATAAATTTTATTTTTAAAGGGTAAAAAAAGGCGAACGTCATTTCGCTAAAGAGCTTCGTGCTTTTAATATAGGGGAATTACCAGCTATGTCCATTTATAAGTAGTTCATTACAAAAATTGGCCAATTCATAAAATATTACTAATATTAGCCAATTAGCTATTTGTAGCAAAATTAGGTCAAATTTTTGCTTTTTTTAGTGGGTGTTATTAGAATAGATTGGGTACATCTTAAAGAGTTCGAATCTCAGTTTTGGGATGATTTGGTGAAGTTTTGAAGTGGTTTGAATTGAAAATTCGAAGTAAAAATCCAACATGAAAAAAAAGTTGATATGTGTATCACATTGTGTATCATTTGTGTATCACATATGTATCATATTTGTATCAATTATGTATCACATGTATATCCATGTATACCTATGTGTGAGATACATGTGTGATACATGTTTGATACATGTGTCGCAGAAGAACTTTTTTGAACTCGATTTAATTACGAGTTTTGATACAAAATCACATCCGATCTTCCTCAAATTTTGTATATTGACTTATCCATATGTTTTCAATGAATTTCAACTATGCCCATTGAAAAAAGTTCCTTTTTTGCTTAGATTTTTGGAATATTGTATTTTTTTTGGTATTTCATCACCGTATTTGCTACCTCATCAATGAAATTTTCTTTCCGTCTTGCATCTAATGTTGCTAATCACGCTTAAAAATATGGAAGGAGATTTTTGCATGTGATTCTTTGAGATAAAGAACCTTATTTATTTAGTTTTTCAATTTTTATATGTGCTTGGCTAGTTTTGGTAAGTTTATGACTAATGGCTAGAGGTTGGTAAGTTGAAACTTATATGGGACATTTGTGTAAGTTTCCCTTTAATATACTATAGATATATGACATAAACTCAAAAGTCAAACAAAATAGCCAATCAATCTATACTTCTTGGTCATAGATGTAGTCAAAGCACCCAACCCAAGGTAAGTTGACCAAATCCCGTGTCGATCCCATACCCACACCCATGTCATGTCAACACAGGTGCAACAACAATTTTGAAGAGTCCGAGCAACATAGCTGAGTCAGGATTCTCGAAGCTTATACAGCATGTGTAGGCTGTAACAACAAAATGAGTAATGTGTTCTTATGTAGAATGATGGGGAAATTTTCTACACACTATGTTACAAGATCTGGTAAAAGATGAATCATAGCAGTTCCCCACATACACAAAAAGTAAATAGATACAAACAATAATAACAGCTACAACTGGAGACACCAAAGAAAAAATGTTAGATGATAAAATTTCAAGCACTGAAAAAGGACAAAGAAGTTACAGATTTAGACTACTATGAAATATGAATAAAATGATGCTGATGAGGAAAATGAGGATGAGAAGGAGCAGTTAGGCCCTTCCCTTAGCTTAAAAGATGGGATTATACTAGAAATGTAAAAAGATGTGCCTCGTGATAGAACCAAATGAAGCAACCATCAAATATTCTACTGATTATGCATGTCTTCCCTTAGCTTAAAGATTTTACATTAGTAAGATTCCATGGTTAATTAGTAATTGGAAAAATCCATTTGCAACAAATGATCTATTGCACACACCGGTGAGAAGGTGTGAGCGACTGGTTGTGGTGGGCTCGAGGAGAGGTAGAGGGAGACCTAAGAAGTATTGGGGAGAGGTGATCAGGCAGGACATGGTGCGTCTTAGGATTACTGAGGACATGGCCCTTGACAGGGAATTGTGGAGGTCGAGCATTAAAGTTGTAGGTTAGGGGGAAGTTGTGGATATTTCTACAGCGCACTAGAGTGAGACTAGCCAGTTAGGAGTTAATCTTAGGAGGCTACTGATCAGCTACTGATGCAGGGATTTATCTGTTGGATATTAGTATACCTCCCATCCTTTTCGTATTTCCTATATTTCTTATATTGATGTTATTCTGTTATTTTATGTTATGTTATGTATTTTATGTTATTTTAGTATGAGTCTATTGATAGTATTAATATATCGTCTCTTGTTGCTGTCTTGAGCCGAGGGTCTCCTGGAAACAGCCTCCCTGCCCCTCAGGGTAGGGGTAAAGTCTGCGTACATATTACCCTCCCCAGACCCCACTTGTGGGATTATACTGGGTTGTTGTTGTTGATCTATTGCACACACCATTCCTCAAATATAACATCCAATATTTAGCACACTAAGCTGATCTTTTGTTTTTCTCGCTCACAGAACAAGGCAGGTGGGAACCAAGCGAAGAAAACTCACCTCCAATTCCACCAACAGTCAGAATAGATTGTACGGCTACTCCACAAACTTCAGCTAAAGTCATTAGCCCAAGGATGAAGAGGCCAACGGAAGAGATTCTGTCCAAAGTTAACAACCGATCACGGTCACCTTTTTCAAGGCTCTTGACAACCAAAGCTCTGCTGATCACATTTGTTTTCCATCGCTGTAGAAACCAGACAAATGAAAGAATAGCAGCACCTCTCCAAGTCTGAAGAAGGTATTGCGATGCAACAGTGCTTGGTGCCACCATCACCGCGCTGCACACATATATAAATCAACGATAAAGACAATTGATAGAACATCAAACCTAAAGCTAATATGTGAAAAAGAACATGTAAGAAACGTATTACTAACATCTGTGAAAATGCCATGAAGGTGATCAAATATCGAACGGGGTCCTCCATAGCACCCCAAATACTTTTCTCATAAGGAACCTGGCCCCATATTGAGCTTCCAGGCAGCAAAGCAGCTGGGCCTTGCATTGAGTACTTGTGAAATCTCCTCAAAAGCCTTGGCATCACGATCCAAGCCATCAAGGTACCAATTAAAGTGCCACCAACCGGAACAATTACATCTCTCAAATAAGGGTGTGCATCAAGCACTTGTTCAACATAAGGAGTCATTTCAGAAGATGCCTCTTTCGCCTTTTCCCCGGTATAAGTCACAGCATCTATGGTTGTTTGCCAAGCTTCCTTAACCTTACCGATCCATTCACTTCCACCGACACCACTTGTATCCATATCAGACCCAGTTGCACCAGCTGAAACATCTGAACCCTTAAGAATATCTCCTTTACTATTAACAGATGATGAATACCATCGACTATTCCATACGGGGCTAGTCCCAACAATTGAGATACTTCCCCTCAAACTTTTATTATCAAATAGCCCACTAATGTATGGAGTAACCTGACTGGGCCCACAAGCAGAGTGTATACCCCTCATATCGAAACATTTGGGGGCAGCATAACTTTTGGAATAAGCGGGTTCTCTAGCGTAGTGGTTACTATTTACACAAGCGAATGAAGGTCTGACATCAATCTGATTAGCTAATCTTAAAGAGGAACTGAGGGTTCTTGTCAAAATTGAAAACCTAATTGCTGCCATCAACAAATAGAGTCTGACCAGCAAATTATGTCTCAAATGAAATCTTTTTAACTCCAACCTTCAACGTTCATCTTCAATCTACAACAAGTATTAGGACAAAGTAACAGATGGGTTAAAAATAAATAAATTTCAAAATAATTCATATACTGTACATATATGCATTATATATATGTATATACTAGCTATGGTTAACACTATAGAGGCTTGAGGCAGAAGTATATCGCATTTCAAATTAGACCAGGCACACCAATAAAGACAAAAATAACAACATGATACCTATTAATTTAAGGACCAGGAAAATTACGTTGGCCCTGAGTTGATGTGGTAGCTTTCAATTCAAGAGCACAGAAATCAAGATAAAGCCAGCCTATACTGTCAACAAATTCAAGATTTTAAACATAGTTAAGGCAAGCTTGCCCCATTTGCAAGGTCTATTCCATTTCATCAATCTCATCATACGTTAAGTAATGGATCGGAGCAATGGTGGTTATGTTTAAACATATTGAAAATTTGCATTCAGGTAAGAATGAGAAAGCAACATCATGTATATATTACAGAAGTACTTTTATCATTAGAAAAGCAAAGAGGACATATCCAGTATCACCTATAGTATGAGCCCAAACATCATGTAACTTGTAATTTACCTCAAATGTAGAGGAAGCTAAAGCAAAATACTTAGCAGGCACATCATTTAGAGTTTATTAATACATGTAAAGTGACATAAAAAATCTAATATGGTTTTTTCTTTCTCTTTTTTTATGAGACTGGTGTATGGACCAGCTTGCACCCCCTCAATTATTCCATAGGGTACCTTCAATCTCCCACCAGCACAAGTACCGGGTACCTATGCCGACCAAGGCTTAGGCCGATAAAAAGAAATCACCTAGTGTTTTTTGACTCCGTGATGTCCGAACCAACTTAGGCATGCCTCAACTATTCCACCGGGTACCTATTACCTCCCAACAATACTGTATAATTTCCTCCACCAAGGCTTAAACAGATGGGAACAAATTACCTAATATTTTTTGCCTTCCCTAGAATTTGAACTCGAGAAATATGGTTCTCCTTCCCCTTCATTGACCACTAGGCAACACCTTTTTTCTTTACTTTAACCATCTGTATTTAAGTTTCTCCTTCAAGTTTATAGTGTCTGCAAATCCTTTCCTTTAGAACCGTGTAAAAACGTTTCAGTTTTAGATGGCATAGTCAACTGCGCACGGTCAGTTGATTTAGGCATATTATCAAACAACCTTGGTGCATCAGCGACCAAAACTGATACGATTTTTCTTCATACGATTGAGCAAAGCTAATACATATGCAAAATTTGCCAATAAACCAAGTACTAGGAGAAGAAAATTCGAATGGAACTCACCTGAAAGAGCAGTAGAAGCAACAAAATCAAAGTACAATTAGTACAAAAGGGACAAATAATGTGTCAACAGAAAAAATACAGATGGAAGGAAGGCTCAATTATCAATTTAACCTTAAAGGTGAAAGCTCTGGATCAAATAGGTGAGGGGTAAAACAGATAAATGAATAAACAGTAAGAAAAAGGTGACTTGATGTGCAAGTATAGGTTTATCACCTAGGGTGAGACTGAAAAGACTATGAGCCTTTTAAGTCCAAAAATAATAAATTGCTCTTGCCTAGCTTATTATTTCGTAAAAGTGGCGTGTGGTAGCCACTAAATAAGGTGGTATTTATTTTTCATCCACCAATTCTAATGTTGAGCAAAAATAGGCACTCCTCTAGTAAAATTATTTTGAAAAGACAGTTTTACCCTTTCTTCTATTCTTATATTCCCAAACCCTTATTTTATACGTTCAGAGACAAAATTTAAGAGCCAAAATTTCAGAGGCAAATTTCGCTCCCTCAGTATCGTTCCTTGCATGCAAATCATTGTTCGATTTTGTTCTTGCCGAGCGATTCTCAGTAGTTTGTTGCAGTTAATCTGTTCTCCTTTGTCATCTTCTTTGCATCGAACCAGCGAATTGGTATGTTTTTTATTTTGCTTTTATGCATTTTCTTTTTGTATGATTGTAATCGCGATCAATGCTGTGTTTGGCATCAAGTATGTGTGAAATTTCAAAAATAATGATTATAACTTGATTGAGTGTGGAATAAGTAGCGGATTTTTGTTAGGAAGTTATTCAAAACTTTTTTGTATTGAAATGTGTTTGTGGTTCAATCAATATATTTGATTATGTTAGGATATTTCATAAGAATAGTCGTACGAATTCATAAGCTAACTGTGTTTATGAATTTTTAGTTAACTGTGCTTCTATAAAAGTTAAGGACCAAGTGTTTTTAACTTTTGATCTTGGAAGTCGAAGTTCAGGACCATGTGTCCTTAACTTTTGAACTTGGAACTCAAACTTCAGGACCAAGTGTCCTTAACTTTTGAATTTGGAATCAAAGTTAAGGACCAATGTCCTTAACTTTTGAACTTGGAATGAAAGTTAAGGACCAAGTGTCCTTAACTTTTGAACTTTGTATTCAAAGTTAAGGACCAAGTGTCCTTAACTTTTGAACTTGGTATTCAAAGTTCAAGACCAAGTGTCCTTAACTTTTGAACTTGAAATTCAAAGTTAAGGACTTGGTCCTTAACTTTTGAACTTGGAATTCGAAGTTCAGGACCAAGTGTCCTTAACTTTTGAACTTGGAATTCAAAGTTAAGGACCAAGTGTCCTTAACTTTTGAGCTTGAAAATCAAAGTTGGACCAAGTGTCCTTAACTTTTGAGCTTGGAAATCAAAGTTAAGGACCAAGTGTCCTTAACTTTTGAACTTGAAATTTAAAGTTAAGGACCAAGTGTCCTTAAGTTTTTAACTTGTAAGTCCTTAATTTTAAGATGCATTTTACTTAGGTCCTGGATTTAGTCCTAATTTTTTATGTTCTTTTTCCTTCTTTGTAGTGTGCTAATGGAAGGAGATCGTGTTTTCGAGTTTGATGTTTGGCGTAATTTGAATAGCTATTGGAAAGGAGATTTACAGTAAAAGGAAATAATAAAAGGTTTCTTGTCGAACAGGCAATGGAAGAAGTTGAGGGATGGTATTTTTGGAAACTTTTTCCGATTACAAAGTGTGAAGTTCTGTTTTAAACTTATTCATTGTGTGTTGCTTTCGGAAATTGTAAGCAATGACCCTAATTCAATGACATTCAAGGTTTTTGACCATGAAGTAAAGTTTACACGTGAAGTGTTTCATGTAATTACTGGTTTAAAATGTTCTTCTTCAGTGGACTTCACAGTTTTGCGTGAAAAGAGAATAGGCTTTCGAAAGTCTACTTCCCTGGGAAAGATAGAATTGAGTTAGGCGATTTGTTTAATTTTATTACTAGTCACCCAAATGGTACAACTGAATCATTTGTAGTTAGCGATGATGATGCGGTGAAGTTGGCAACAATTTATTTTGCTGAATATGTTTTGATGGGGAAGCGGAAGAATCGGAATGTGTCCGAGCAGCTAATGAAAATTATAGATGACAATGAACTCTGCTCTTCTTTCAACTGGGGCTCTCTTTGTTATGAAACGTTAGTAAAATCATTGAAGAGTTGTTTGAAGCCCAATGAGAATGAGAATGAGAAAGAGAAAGAGAAAGATAAAGACAAGGACAATTATACTATACTTGGCTTCCCTTTTGCTTTTTGTGTTTGGATTATGGAAGTATTCCCAATGTTCCAGGAAAAATAATTTGTGAACTTCAGAGAATGTGGGTATCCTCGGATGTTATATTATTCAGATATGAAATCTCCACAATATGATTCTCTGTGTAAAAAATACTTTCATAATGAAAATGTAAGTTAATCTGATTACTAGCTATTTTTTTTGTTTATGTGTTTTAGTTCTGAAAACTTACGTTTTTTTCTTATACAATAGGTGTATAAGTTGATCGAGGTGGTACCATTTGTTTCTGTTGAAGAAGATGCGGAGCCTGTTAGTGTGCATGAGCCATTGTCTCAAGATCAAAGTTCAATGCCTTCCTCCACACAATTTGATGAAGCCTTGCCTAAGGAAATTGTTAAAGTCGGTTTTCTGTCTTTGGATAGCATTAGTTTTTTATTTGATTATTTTTGCTTAAGAGACTTTTTTGTTTTTATGGTTTTTGATTCAGAGATTATCGGAGAAGTTTACAAAGGATATGCACACAAAAGTTACTAGAATAAATCAAAAAATAGCTATATCAGAAACAAAGATTCAAAATGACATCAAGGTAATATCATTTATTTCAGTGCTTGTAACTCTAATTTAAATTTTGAACTTGGAACTCAAAGTTAAGGACCAAGTGTCCTTAACTTTTGAACTTGAAACTTGAAGTTCAGGACCAAGTGTCCTTAACTTTTGAACTTGGAACTCAAACTTCAGGACCAAGTGTCCTTAACTTTTGAGCTTGGAACTCAAACTTCAGGACTAAGTGTCCTTAACTTTTGAACTTGCAACTCAAAGTTAAGGACCAAGTGTCCTTAACTTTTGAACTTGGATATCTTTCTATTTTCCTCTATCTCCGGCTAGAAAAGAATGTATGCGTCAAACTTTGAACTCAAACTTCAGGACCAAGTGTCCTTAACTTTTGTGCTTGGAACTCAAACTTCAGGACCAGGTGTCCTTAACTTTTGAACTCGCAACTCAAAGTTAAGGACCAAGTGTCCTTAACTTTTGAACTTGGAACTCAAACTTCAGGACCAAGTGTCCTTAACTTTTGAGCTTGAAACTCAAACTTCAGGACCAAGTGTCCTTAAATTTTGAACTTGCAACTCAAAGTTAAGGACCATGTTTCCTTAGCTTTTGAATTTGCAACTCAAACTTCAGGACCCTTGAACTTGCAACTCAAAGTTCAGGATCAAGTGTCTTTAACTTTTGAACTTGCAACTCAAAGTTAAGGTATGCCTTTCCTTAACTTTTTAACTTGTAACTTGAAGTTTAGGACTACCCGTCCTTAACTTTTTAACTTAAATTCTTTCACAGGATTTAAAGAAAGACCTAGGATCAAAGATTGATACTTTGTTGAAGATTCTTGTCAAACCTGATGAAAGGAACATAGAGAGAGAATCTACTATTCCAAGTAGTAAAGATGCAGTTGATACAGAACCTACTGTTCCAATTAACAAAGATACAGGTGATGATCAATGTGATGATACAGATGTGCATGCAGAAGATCAATATGAAAGCGATTATAGAGATGCGCATCTAGAAGATGAAACTGATATTGGCACTGAAATTGGGAAAGGTTAGATATAGATTTTGAATTTGTTGTCATTGAAATTTATATTCAATAGCGTAGTATATATAAACTTTTCTGTTATTACAAATATATGTAGAATCTATTGATGGAGTGAAAGTTCAAGATGTAGTAGAATGTCAAGACCAGGAAAATCCAAAAGAGACAGGAGTAACAGAAACAATTTGTAAATGTGGAGTGCAATCTCAGGATTTAGAAAATCCATTGGGAACAAGTGTAAGTGAGATTGTATGCAAATGTGTTGAAGGAATATATGGTCTCTCTAAACCTCTCTCACTTAAAGAGAAATTTGGAAATCAAAATGATGCCAATCAAGGTTAGATGGAATTTTCATGATATGTTGAATGTTAGTTTTAGTAAACTATTAGTAAAGGATATTAATTGTAAATGTTACAGAATCTTTTGAAGCTGCAAGGGAAGAAAATGGAGTGGACTATCAAGAGAGAAGTGGAGGACAATCTCAAGACTTAAAAAATACCCAAGGAACAAGCATAAGTGAGATTATTTACAAATGTATAGAAGGAACATATGATCTCTCTGCACCTCGCTCTCTTACCAACAATATTGGACGCCAAAAAAAGGCTAGTGAATATAATGATTTAATTGGCATGATCTTGACAGTTGCAAAAGGTTAGACAAAGTTTTTTTTAATTTTATACATGTTTGTTTTAATCAAAGATTAGTAACAAGCACTAATTGTGGTAACTCTTGTAAATATTTTGCAGAATCTTGTGAACTTGCAATCGAAGATCATGAAGAACAGTTGCAAGATAAAGAAAATGCACAGTTGCAAGATAAAGAAAATGCAACTAATATGTCAGCTCAATTGTCTGTTGAAAAAGTACAAGAATGCAGCGTGGACAACACAAGTATTGATTGTGTCCTAAATATTATATTCATAATTGAAATTGCCAGTACATTTCAAAAATTTATGTCCTTTAGTTTTTAGTCTACTTTCATTTTAGACTAATTCGTTAGTAAAATTTTACGAACTTGCTAAGGAAACTAATGTATATGTAATATTTACTGCAGAGCAAAACAAAAATGAAGTCGTTAACCAATATACTAGGAAAAGGAAGAGAGTTTTGATGGTCCATCATTTTCTATTCTTACTCCTACTCCTCTAACTATACAAAGTAGCATTGATGAGGGTTTTGTCTATGGAGGTTGAAGGAAATGTTGAAGAAGAGCTTGGTCGAGGAATAAGGAATAGGAAGCTTAGTTGGCAATTGAAACCTCCTTTTGAACAGGAAAGAAAAACAGGAACATTGATGGCGCACAACGAAAATACTCCTAAGAATACGGGCTGGATAAAATCAAAATATACTCGTAAATGTATTTTTCATTATGCCAAAGATGATGCAAACTTATTAAA